TTGATGGAAAGTGTAAACAACCTTGCATATTTTGTAGTTTGTAAAGTACACAAAGCAGAAACTTCAAAATTTTCTAAGAATAGGATCATTACATTGGCCGTTGATATTCTCACCAAAAGTAAGAAAATAATAGAACACTTCTTTGACTACCTGGAATCAGCTGAAACTGAAATAGCTGAAGCAGCACAGGTGTGTAAACAACAGTCTGAGAAACATCCATGGGAGAGGACTTTTCAGAGATCTTGGAAGTGTAGTAAATCACCTCATTGCCCATGTGCAGATGTGAACAGTGACTGTTTAGATATACTTGCTGTTAGATTATGGCCAGCACATTCATTGGCAATGTTGTGAGTGCAATCTTTACAGTCCCAGCTAAGTGTCAGGAATTTGGGTCCTGATAATAATTTTCATTCAGCTGTACACTACAGATCCAGTTTTATATGTAACTAGATTCTGCAAACAACTGTTGTATTAGAAACCAGGAAGCGCTTATCAGTGACTGTTCATGTTTCTCTTAAAATCAATGGTTGTGCATATTGGCAGAATAAAGAAGTAAGTTTGTTATTGCTTGATATATTCTGAAAGAATGTCCAGGTGAGTTCCAGTGGGCTTTCATTGGAGTGTTACAGCCTGAAAGCTCAAGAACATCATTTATAAAATTCCTCAGTGCAAGACTAAATATTGAAGAATATAACCCTGTTTCAGGGCTGTCTTCCTTACTAGCAGGTTCAACTCCTGCTGAAATGGTCAGTGCAGATGGTCCATTGGTTGAACTGATTTTTGACAAAGGTGCTGTGGCCGAATGCAGTTTTAGCATGTGTGATACTGCAAAAGTACCAGATACAGATGTTTCAGGTTACAGCACAAATTGCTATAAGCTCATTGCTTGTGAATCAGTACTTGTACTCATTACTTACTTACTTGGGCCATACCATAGCTCAAGCGGTTAGTCACTGGCTTCCCACAGTGGTGGCCTGGGTTCGATCCCGGGGTCTGGTCAAGTGGGATTTGTGGTGGACAAAGTGGAGCTGGGGCGGGTTTTCTCCGAGTACTTCGGTTTCTCCTGCCAATCTTCATTCCACCAATTGCCCCACAATCACCCTCACCTATCATCTGGGGCTGGTACAATAGGCCAGAAGTGGCCACAGTACAAGGGACTTAGTCCCACCCCACTAGCAATAAAAAATACTTACTCATGGAACTAAGCCCTTCTGGAGGAGCCGCCAATTCTGCAGCTACTCAAGAATTTTGCAGCATTTTATGGAACCTAAACTTTTATTACTGTGTTTACAAGAGCCCTCCACTGGTCCCTATCCTGAGCCAGATCAGTCCAATCCATACTGTCCCATCCTATCTCTAAGATCCACCTACGCCTTAGTCTTCCCAGTGGTGTCTTTCCTTCTGGCTTTTCCACCAATATCCTATACACATTCCTTGTCTCCTCATGCTATATGCCCTGCCCACCTCATCCTCCTTGACTTGATCATTCTGATTATATTTTGAGAAGAGTACAAGTTATGAAGCTCCTCATTGTGCAGTTTTCTCCAACTTCCTGTCACTTCATCTCTCTTCTGTCCAAATATTCTCCTCAACATCCTGTTCTCAAACACCCTCAGTCTGTGTTCCTCCCTTAATGTCAGAGACCAAGTTTCACGCCCATACAGAACCACAGACAAAATTATAGTTTTGTATATTCTGATTTTTATGTTTTTGGAAAGCAGACGAGAAGACAAAAGGTTCTGGACTGAATGGTAGCAAGCATTACCCTCGTTCAATCTCCTCTTAATTTCCTCCTGAATCAGTTTTGATCTGTTATCGTTGTTCCCAAATATCTGAACTGTGCCACATTTTTAAAACATCTGTTTCCTATCTTTATGTCATGATTTTGCCCTGCATTTTGGTGATGAGACAGGAACATATACTTAGTTTTCTCTGTGTTTACTTCTAGACCAACCTCTTTACTTGCGTCAATTAAAGTTTGTGTGTTTTTCTTTATTGTATCTACATTATCACCCAGTAGATTCACATCATCAGCATAGGCCAACAGCTGATGTGTCCTGTTTAATTTCAGTCCAACCTGGTTTCCCTGGACCTTCCTAATGGCATATTCTAAAGCAAAGTTGAAAAGGAGTGGCGATAAATCATTTCCTTGTTTTAGACCATTCTGGATAGGAAATTTATCAGACAAATGTTTACCTACACGGACTTTACCATACATTTTGTTTAAACGCATTTTAATCAACCTAACTAGTTTCATGGGTATCCCGAACTCTTATCAGAATATTGTTCAATATTTCCCTCCTAACTGAATCATAGGCTTTATAGTATTTGTACTATACTTGTATATACTTTGTACTGTACTTCTACTCATACAACAGCTTATTACTTGTACATCAATTTTGTTACAAAAAACTGCTTGTTTCAATTTTAGTAACATCTCTCCACTTCCAAGCACAAGAAATTTAATTTCCCACTATAATTAGATAAAATTCCCTCATCAGATTTATCTGACAGAAGAGTCACCTAATTCAAGATTTGTTGTATCACTTGAGTGGTGCAAGTCCAGAAAATTACAATCTATGTCTTGCTGTAGTGAACATCTTGAAGAAAAGAGAAATGAGATACATTGGACCAGATGTCAGAATGTGCAAAGAAGGAGATTTCTTAAAGACGGTTTTAAGAGAGACTGGTGCCTTATAAAGCATTTGGATACCATAAGCTTGCAACTATTTGTGTTGTGTAATAAAAATATTTTGATCAAAGTGTTTTAAGGGGGACTGTTGCTTTATAAAGCATTTGAATACTATATGACTGTTTATGTTCCAAAAAATATGTTCAGAAATGTTTCAAACAGACTGTTGCTTTATGAGACCTCTGAATGTACTAACAATTTTTCATACAGGCTAGTGCTTTATAAGGTCCTTGAATATTACAGTATACCTGTTTGTTATGTACTGAAAATACTATGTTCAAAGATTTGTGGTTTGTAAAGCCTTTGAATACTACTGGTTATGATTTGTGATAAAAATATTTTAACTTGTATTATATTATATATATAATGTGGCATATAGACCTACATATATATATATATATATATATACACATAATGTGGCATATAGACCCATTGCTAAGCAGTGACTCTACAAACAGCGGCCATTGCTAGGTAACGCCTGCAACAAGCATGCAGCAGTAGAGCAATGGGGTTATGCAACCTGTTTCTAAGCAAGGGGTCAGTAAACACGTTCCCGTAGAAACTAGCGTACAAAACAATAGAGGAATGGTGTTTTTGATGTGGTCCGCGCCAAGGAGTTATCTTGAAGACAGTTAAGTTGACCAGTTCAGTTGAAAGTCAGCCTGTGAAGAGAAGACTAATAGGTTGGTGTGAAATGGCTGCCAGCCTGGTACCCAGTTAATTGAGGGTTGGCATTTGAGTCAAGCTCTGTGAAGGAGGCTGAGAAGAGGTGGTGCTGTAGTTAAGATGACCATTGACAAGAATTCAGTTGCGGGATATTTGCCTAAAACTAACGTCATGAGCGCGGGAAGCTGAAGAATCTCCACTGTTAGAAGTTGTTGCTAGGGAATGGCTGGTGAAAACACAACAGGCTGGCAAAAGGCTTGGCAAGTGCTGTGGTGATCTGTGAATTGTGGAGATTATCAGTAGCACTGTAATTACTTGTAGTTCCAAGTGCTGTGTATAAGTGGTCAATAAATGCAATTTACCAGTCCATACCCCATCTATAGTCACACCCCTAAAATCATGACAATATGTATTGTCACGTATTGGGTGTATAACGCGACAAATAAGTTCACGCTGTTCTTTGATATAGCAAATTTATTCCTTTCGCTCGTTTACACACTCTTTGCTGTATGCTGTTACATCCAAAGGTACCACTAATCTTCAGTCAGATTTTCTGTTTCCTTACACTATCCTATTATGATGTTATGTATGTTCCATAAGAAGGTGTGAAAACAGTTCATACTTTATTCACTTGAATGAAGTTTGTTTTATTTATTACAATAATAATGTTTTCACTTTCTATATCATTAGAACAATCTTTGCTAAGTGTGACAACTCTTCATACTGTTGCTTGGTATTCTCTTGAAACACATGTGGTAGGCTCCATAAGACTGCAAACAGTGTTAATCTTTTTGTCTTTGTAAAGTGTACAAGTGGACCAGTGCTTAGAACCACTGTTTCTATATATATTTCAGTGCTGTTAAAAAGAACAATGGTATGTCCTTAACACTAGATAAACTGTAATGATAAATACTTTACCTGTTTAGAAAGGAATATGATTCTTCATGAATATGACAAAAACAATTTCTTCCCAGAAGTATACACATATAAAATTGTATATCAAAAACGTCTCTTCAAATCCTAAATGTCCATGGTAACTGTAACATTACAAACTTTAAAAAAAAAATAGTCTGTAACAATAGCACATTCATACTTCATCTAAAACATTTCTGAAGTTGTGTCATTGTCAGATTGTGATATAGATCATTATGTCATTGTTATGAAGTTACTAGATTGTATTTCCATGAAGGGGAACCAAAATTACCATACTAGAGATCTAATTGATACATAGGACTTTTCTTCCATAGGATTTCCTACTCAAGCTGTGACGTACTCTCAAAGATGTTTTAGACAGACAGTGATATGTTACAGGTACACAGAGTTGGACTGATAAGTGTGTTCTTTTATGTAGAATGGTATCCTGATCAAGTATATATCTCAACCAGGATTCAGATCTCAGTGAATAACTGCACATGGACTGACTGGTTTTCTCCATCCTGTCTGACATGCCTGAAGAGTGTGGTGAAAAAAGTCACGACTGTTCTTCTCTCACATCAATTCCTGAATCATCATCATATTCTGTCACATTATTTGATGCTGTATAATCTTTCTAGTTAACACAGCATTGTCAGATAAACAAATATACAGGATCATAACTTTTGTACACATTGCAGCTCATCCCTGAACTTGTTTTTTCTTTCAGACCTTGGTGGTCCCCAGTTCCATATCAGGAAACAAGGAAACATCCCGAAATTATGTTTCTGCAGAGAGTGAGACTGCAAAACAGAAAGGAATCTCTGAGATCATAGATGTTGTGGGCTCTCCAGGCACTCCTAACATGACTTGAATGTTTCTTGTACTTGTAAGTGTACTGCAAAATAAAAGTGTTTCCTCTAGGCTACCCTTGATGTATCACTTAATTATGCCTATTCCTCTTTTGACCACATTATCATAGGTAATGACACATGTTTTGAACAAACATATCATTTGAATGGTTGGTGTTGCAACACAGTAGTTTGCAAGAAAGTTTCTGTTCAACCTATGATGAGTCTGTTCGTTTAAGTTATATTCGAAACAGAGTGAGCCATAAATGATATTCATGTTTGTATACAGTCTCTAGCTTTTCTTTAACCTGTACTGGTACGTTTCTTGAATTTTAGGACATTCATTGCATGCTGCCCGCTGTTTTTGGTTGTTCACAGAAGCTGAGCTGAGATTGTATCTGCCTTGGATTTTCTGGTTACAAAATACATGCTATCAGAAGCATGTGAAGGGAGCATAGGAATAATACTACAGAAAATTTCTTTACTTTATTCCATCTCCACAATAGGAAGTATAGATTCACCATACATTCATTGTTCACACACACAGTATGATGGTAAAATATAGTACTACAGAAAAGTTGGTAAAATTGTCACTGCTTGTAACTGCGTGATTAACCTAAGTAATTGTGATGAATTACAAGATGTACTGAGAGCATAATTTGAATATGCGTATTGAAACTGTAAAAAAGGGGCAAAACCCAGCTTCCGAGGGTCTGAAATTGCAAGAAACCTTATAAATCAGAATGTTGATGTTACATGGTATACATTATTTCAAATGCATATTTATGGAAAAATTTAATTTTTACCAATAATTTAAGTAGTTCTCTCTGAAACCTCATTATATTTGATATGAGGTTTAAAGTCCGTAAACTTTTCTTTAACTTTTTTGCTCTCAGCAAAGAAAATTATCCATGATATGTATACAGTGGCCATCTTGTAGTTCACTCAATTTCACCTGTTACTTCACGACATGTTTCGGCAACATAGTGCCATCATCAGGTGCCCTAATTACGTTAATCTATTGCATTGCTTGCCCTCATATGTCTTCACAACAACATTTAAAAGGTGCGTATTTGTCAACTATTATAAATTTACACTCACTAAAACTTGTTAAGATTATTTATCTTATGTGTCTTAATTAAAACTTGCGTGTGGTTCATTCACTATGGGGTCGTTTTTCTTATTTTCTGTGTAAACCATGTCTTGTGATGTGTGTTCCCTTCTTAGCTGCGAGTGTTGTAATTAAGACACATAAGATAAATAATCTTAACAAGTTTTAGTGAGTGTAAATTTATTATAGTTGACAGATACGCACTTTTTAAATACTTTTTAAATGGTGTTGTGAAGACATATGAGGGCAAGCAATGCAATAGATTAACGTAATTAGGCCACCTAATGATGGCACTATGTTGCCGAAACATGTCGTGAAGTAACAGGTGAAATTGAGTGCACTACAAGACGGCCACTGTATACATATCATGGATGAAAATCAGTGCAACAGGACGCTAAAATAAAACGTTATGAAAAGAAAATTATATTGTTTTGTTTTCTTTGTTTCAAAATATTTCATTAGCCCAAATCGCAATCATTGCATTTCATTTTATGTATAAGACATTAATGTTCTACATCTACTTTTACTGTATGACTTCTTGAAACAAAGAATCAGTGCTATCACACTGTGTATATTGACAGAATAGTCCTGACTGTAACATTCAGTTTGCCTTGCCACACAGCACTGTTCACCAGTAACAGTAAAAGAACAAAGTACATTCTGAATTTTATGCAACATTATTAAAGCAGTGAGTATAAGTCCATGATTTATTTCACCGTCTTTTAGTGCATACACTTATCTACCTCACTCCTTTCTCTCGCACTACATGTTTCGGCACAAAAGTGCCGAGGTTAGAGGTGACTCGAGAAGTGAGATACGACTTAGGAAAAATCCTGAACAATTTTAATATTTTTAATATTTAATATTTATTTATTAAATATATATTTTAATTATTTTAATATGAAGACAAGGCACGCAATGAACTAGTTTAACGTTAATCGAATAAGCACCTGAAGATGGCACTTTTGTGCCAAAACATATAGCGCGAGAGAAAGGAGTGAGGTAGATAAGTGTATGCACTAAAAGACGGTGAAATAAATCATGGACTTAAATCAGTGCAACAGGACGCTAAAATATAACATCAGTGAGTATGAATTATATTTCATAAGTATTCCATATCATGATATAATATTCTGTCATTGTGATATGCACTCTAGCAGAGCTCATGTCAGCTTAAAAGTACTGCTGAAAAGTTACTTTTAGATTTCATTTTTTTGCATATATATTGGACTTAAATTTGAGGAAGAAACTAGTGAAATGCTACATTTGGAGCATAGCTCTGTATGGGGCTGAAACATGGACACTTAGGGCAGTAGATCAGAAACATCTTGAAAGTTTTGAAATGTGGTGTTGGAGAAGGATGGAGAAGATCAGTTGGACCGATTATGTGAGAAATGAAGAAGTGTTAATTAGAGTCAGCGAGCAGAGGAATATCCTACACGAAATAAGAAAACGGAAGGCTAATTGGATTGGTCATGTTTTACGCAGAAACTGCCTTCTAAAAGAAGTTATCAAAGGAAAGATAGAGGGGCAGATAGAAGTGACAAGAAGACGAGGAAGAAGACGTAAGAAGATGCTGGATGACCTTGGGGACAGGAGAGGATACTGTCATTTGAAGGAGAAAGCTCTAGATCGCATTAAATGGAGGAATTGTTTTGGAAGAGACTGTGGACCTGTCGTCTTAACAGATTACTGATGATGATGATGATGATGATGATGATATATGATGATGATGATGATGATATAAAGACCTTAAAAATATCATTGACACACCAAGTCTCTTCATATATCTGTTATATCTTTCAGAGTTCATAATTAGTTGATGCATTTTATGAAGCCTTATTTGTGGTACAAATAACTGAATAAATTCACCCCTGTGATATATCGAAGATATATATTACACTATTCTTTCTGCATTTCTGGAGTAAAAGTAAAGTAAAGGTATCCTTCTAACAGGCCATGGAAGCCCATAGGGTTGTGAGACGTCGAGACTCCCATATTTTCTAGACCATTGGCTCATAGATAGCGGTGAGGTTGTCAGCCCTACACGCTGACCGCCCTTTACCCCCAAGAATATTCCAAGAATATTCCTGGTACTGTTAGAGGCTGAGTCGACCCCAGGGCCATAGTGCGGCCATAAGGATTACATCAGTTGAAAAAATCCAGTGACCTCATCGGGACTTGAACCTTCCAGCTTGTAGCATAGTGCCTCAACCAGCTACGCTACTGTGAGCCTCCTGCTTTTCTGAAAGTGACAGTAATTTCAGATAATGACCTTTTATGGCCATATTAATTAAATAGGGTGGTTAGTGATTGTTCTTTAGTCTTGTATTCAGGAGGTAACCAGTTTAAATCTCAGCTGGGTTACTGACTACACTGACTGAAGTTTTTATGCTATTCTGTAGTATCTTCAGGCAAATGCCAGGATAGTGTCTTGAAATGGACCTCCTTTCAGATCTGTAGCTGTTAATTATATGTGACCATCTCCCCATCTCATTCATCATTGTATAACTTCTGCAGTTGAAGCAGCACTGTTAAATAAATGCTGAACCAATCAAGAAGTGTGTTACAGAACATGCTAGTTTGCAGTAACATATCATGTTTCATTCTGAGTGGGTGTCATGAGGTAAGCCATAGCCACTGCCTACCCTTTCTAGCCGGTTCTCCATAGATGTCTTGTGCAATGTTACGTAACATCTGCAGTTATAACAATTATTCATGCTTACCCCTAATATGTGACAATGCAATGAAACAGCTTAAAGGCATAAGGTGTACCTGAGGATGACCATGTATGAGTGAGACATGTTTTGATAATGAGAACAAGTGAATGAAATATGGCTGTGTTGCAATCACCATGCAGCCATTCATGAAAATTACATGAAGAAGACACAAAATAAATGCCTCATTAATGTAAGATTATTTCAGTGTTACACGTACTTTGCTTAGAGGGAGGGGGTGATAGGTGGGGTAACAGTTCACACTCTTGGGGACTGAGCTCTGGGCTACATGATGTCATATGTCTTGCATCAATAGTGTCACAATCAGCCCAGTCTTGTAATTGTTTTATATTGAAAAAATAAATGTACATAGAAAAAAGGCATAAGGCATGCTCATCCAGCCCTCTGTAGTGCAGTCATAAACATCTTATTCTGTCATAGCAATTACCCTTTGAGTTTTGAACATATCTCTTAACTCTAAGAATATACTGTTAATATTTTGTACATTTACTTGTTTTCCTTTTTCAGTCAGTTTAGGAATTTTGTTTATGAAGTAACAGACTCCTTGCACAAATTGTTTTTGCTCTAGCCCTAAGTGCTCTGTCACTAACTGGATATTCTTTTTTACTGTTCTCAGGCAAAATGTCCAATCCTGTTGCCCTTTGGTCCTTATACAGTTTACAGTCCAAGAAGATATGTTCCTCTGTTTGCAGCCCATCATCCCATTCGAATTCAGCCATGGACACAATGTTAAATATACTTAAGCTTGTTTTAAGACTTGAGTGGACTGCTCTTATATGGTCATGTCACGGAACCACGGAGACGATTCATTCCTGCAGTACCTTTTAAAGTAGCTATCTCCTCTGTCCCTGTTGGTGTTTTGACAGAAAGTTTGAGGTTCCTCTTTTCCTTTCTTTTTCCTCTGAACTTTAAATTTGCCACTGGTAATAGTAGTTGACTTTCTCTGCCTTTCTTTGCTTCCAAGTCAGCTGTCTCATTAACTTCAACTCCACAGTGCCCTGTGATCAAGTAATATTGTTCTTTTTCCCCTTGTGATTCCAGTCTTTCTATTTTATCTGGAAGCAACTGAGTAATGTGTGACGTGTTGTTCATTGTAGATGTGTTACTAATTCCTTTTAGCATGCTTTCCAAGTCTGAGAAAGTCACAAAATTTTGCTCCAGATCTATTTTTTCGATGTTTTCTGAGGTTTCACCAATTGCTAGTGCTTCCACTGTGAACGTAGATGCTATCTTAACTATCCAGAATTTCCAGCTATTACCATCACTTATATTGATGCAAATCCTGCAGATGGTGTGTTCTCCATTTTTGAGCCATGCATGGCAAAATATTTACTGTAATTTTTTTTTTTTAATTCCTTGTTGTGATCCTGTGCTTCCTTTACTTGTCTTACTTCATCGAAAGATACCCTGGCCCTGTAGAAGAGGCTTTCGTATGTATAGTTGAAGACAAGGGGACAGTTCCCTAATTGGATTGTTTCTTCTATCATGTCATGTGTGTTGTGTATCTATGTTGTGCAAATTTATTAGTTCCTACTGCCTGGATATGTTCCTTAAAACGTGCTCCTAAACTTCTGTTATTCCTATTTATTTCAGTTGATGCTTGTTGCATTCTAGTTGGTAGATTCTGCTTTTATTAAGGCTGTAAGTATTGAGGGTTTTTGGTTTCAGATGATGACTTGTCATGTATATGGTATGTTTTTTATATTATTTTATTTCGTTCTTTATATGCATTCTTTGTACCAGCATTGATGTGTTTGCTGTTTTTTTTTTTTTTGTTTTTATACATGCATGTTTTGAATATGCAGCTGGTGATGCCGTAGTCAGTATAGCGACTAGCTACAGGCTGGATGACCAAGGGGTCAGAGTTCATGTCCCTGTAGGGTTAAGAATTTTCTCCACATCATCCAGACTGGCTGTGGGGCCCACCGAGCCTCCTATACAATGGGTACTGGGGCTCTACTGGGGTAGAGCAGCAGGAGCGTGAGGCTGACCACTCACCTCCAGCTAGTGCTAAGGTCAAGAAAACGTGCCTTCATGGTGTAGTGCTTAAGTTGTTAAGCACAGGGACAACTTTACTTTTTCCTTTATATTTTTGGATTAGTTTGTGGTGTAGGCACGACTTGTTGAAATATACTATATTTTAATTTCAGTGCAGTAATTTATGTTTAACGTTTTTATAATTATATATGCTGCTTGTATGAACCATCTTTCTATGTATTTTGCATCCTGTTATGTATCTCACTGCTATTTATATCAATCCATCACAACACACTAAACTACTGAAGACACGAGGGACACGACTGTTATCGATGATTTAGATACAGATAGGAAACTCATGGCGATTTGTGTGAAACGTAAACTTGTTTCATGTCATGCATAAGCTGCAAAGAGCTCAGTCTATATAAGATGGTTAAATACTATTCAGCTTAATTTGATTCTTGCAGCTGGTTGCAGTTTTGGTAGTTACCGGTCTTTACAGTCACGTGCCATTCTTGAGTGCATGAGAGCATGAGAGAAACTCTGTGGCCTGTAGTCCACAAGCGAACTATACCGACCAAGCGACTACCACTTGTCGGCGAATTTAGTGCCAACTTTTGCGGATAGAGGGTGTGACGTGGTCAGTGCAAGGATCCCCGTTAATTTCGGTTTTCTAGACCGGAGCCGCTATTTACTTGAAATAGCCCCTCAACTATCCTCACGAGTCTGAGTGTAGCCCGTTCCAGACCCACAATTTCTCAGAAAATTTGGTAGTGCCGGGAATCAAATCGGGAAATCAGGGTCTGTAGGCAGGAACTGTGACCACTAGACCACAGACGCGGTCTGGTTTTTATTCATATTGACTTATTTTTATAGTGATATTTCTAAAATTGTTATTTCATATACGTACGAAATCCACGCGTATGTGTTGCGGTATTTAACGATTAGATTTAATCGTTGGAAGATAATGTACCGGAGGAGGGGCTACGTTGTTAATTAAATGAAACCATGGCGGCGTTTGATGAGTGTGGTTTCCGCACGTGACAAATGTACATTAGCTACCACATTAATCACAACAAGAGTATCACAGAATAGTGTATGAAATACCAAACAAGTGGATAAATACTCAGGAATCAATACATATATTAATAGTATAGAGGAAATCAACTTAATGGCATTCCAGCCACCAAGCGCCCGTCAAGGTAATGTTCCTAACCTAAAAATGACGAACTTATGTTCACATTAGAAGTAAGGTTATATTTTCTTTTGGGAGGATAGAGAAGCAAGTAACTTTCACGCTTTTGCTGGCTGAGATTGATGTGTTATTTCAGAATGCACATAATGCATTTGGCCTTAAACATATCTTTCGAGGGTCTGTTAATTAAAAGAGGTGTTTTGCGAATAGTTTCATCCCAGAAAATTGAGTTACGTAGGTTTTGTTTCAGGAACTCTCAGTTAACGACACATTTTGTTGGTTTTGTTTGTAGCAACACCAGAAATTTCATTGCGATTTTAATTATTGTAATTTGTGTACATTTCTTTTACATAATTATATTAGCAATGCATGTTTTGAAAATAAACGGTGAAAGCGTAATCTAGGATCGGAACTTTCCAGCCTTTAACAAACAAGAAGTTGCATTATATCTGCAGTAGCCATCAAAGAGTCATAATTAAAAATCAAAATATACCTATCTGTGGTTGGAGTTACAGAATTTCTGGTCCACAAGGTTCCTGTATAATGGGAGGTGATGGCATGAATATGAGGCTTCATTAGTTCTGTGTATTATCTTATTCTTGAAGATTGAAACAGTAATAGCTGTAGAATTGTGAAGAAACATTTGAAGTTTTCTGGTTTAATAAAATGGAGTATGAAGGTGACCCCAAACTTGTACTGAGTAACACTCCTCACTTTTGTTTTGTGGACCATGGGAGTCTGCTTTTCCTGACAGATTTATTTCAACAAATGTATAGCCATTATTAAACTTTCTTCGTACACCATATAGTGATTCATCATCATGACAGATGATAGGACATGGAAACTGTGCAGTAGTTTTTGTTTTTATTGTACAATTTGTTATATGTACTTAAAACTATGTTTTTATGTAATATATTTAAATGTTTCCCCAACAGAACTTGCTAATCGCAAAATATTAGAAGAGATACAACTAAAAAAACAGCAAATTCTGAAGCAAGGGGTGGCACCAAGCCTCAATTCTCCTACCATAGCTCCTTCCCTATCTGCTGTGGGAACAGCTGTTACCATGGTAGGTGTCAGTTTATAGTTACTCATTAAGGTATCAGTGAATTTGTAAGGTACAAAATATTTATACTAATAATGCAGTCCAAAAATATATGTTTTTGTTACTTGATTTCATGCTACATAACAGTAACCATAGTTACTTTAGAGTATCATAAAATTAAAAAAATATATTATTAACAGAAACTGAGTTTGGGACACTGTCGTTTGTTGAAGTTCTGTGGTTGTTTTAGGCTTATCAGATTTGTTATTGAAAATAACAAGTGTGCCATTTTGGGATTGTTTGAGGGAGAAGGTAACTCTAGCAATAGTAGATTCAGCACAGTTAATACAAAGGCCCACCCACTGGTCATGCCACTTCAGATCATGTCCCTGAGAATAATTTTAATACGCTGCCATTTTTTTTGGTAATTAAAATTGGTTGCTATCCAGAAAGTTTTTGTAGCAATACTGTGTATGCATTCTTTATTATTTTTGACTGAGTTCCATATACAGCCCATTGAGACTACTCTTTCGATACCAGGATAACTGCACAAATCACAGAGTTCTTTGTTTTGTAATATCATCCATCCCCCTCCCCCTTTATCATTGGTGAATACAAAAATTAAAAGAAAATGTTGACATTATTTGAATAATTAACATTTTATTGTTTTTTCTTTTCAACATACCAGTGGCACCCAAATATGAGACAGTTTTATGTCCCAACAGCATTCCAGGATAAGGGGACAATGCATGGCTGACAACCCACAGTTATCACACTGATCAGTAGGGAACGTAAAATGGTGTATATGCAACACTGATTGAGTTTTTAAATTCAGTTTGATATTTTTAAGTTTTATATATAAATATATATGTATATGTATAGGAGCCTGGACAGCACAGTTGGCATAGCAACTGGCTACGGCTGGACGACCGAGAGGTCGGAGTTTGAGTCCCAGTAGGGTCAAGAATTTCCTCTTCTCCATGTTGTCCAGACTGGCTCTGGGGTTCACCCAACTTCTTATATTATGGGTACCAGGGGCTCTTTCACGGTGGTAAAGCAACTGTGGTGTGTAGCTGACCACTCACCTCCAACTAGTGCTGAGGTCAAGAAAATGCGGATCTATACATCCACTCCCCCATATGCCTTCATGGTGTAATGCTTAGTTAGTTAAGCACATGAACAACTTTTGATATTTATAGGTAGTGGAATTTCATTGTATTAATAAGTAATGTAGTTATAATATGCAAACCATATGTTTGCAGAATTTGCAGAGAATGACATGAACATGTCAGTGGCAGAATGTAATATACACAGAACTGTAGATACTGTGTAATGGGACTGTGCAGTTATCCTTTCTCAAGCTTTGTAAGCTATGGAAAGGAGGTAGTTACGGTAAGGTTTGGAGAACAGAAAGGGTACTATACTGCATAGGGTAATTAGTTGAAATATTTCTTTAGTTTTGTATTTAGAAATTTATTTTGTATTTTTAATTTATATAATAATGCTGTATGATCAGAATCCATGTTAGGTGGGTCCCCTGTCACCACGGCATGGTGCGTCCTCAGGTTGCGGATGGAGGAGATGCCCTCCAGTTTTGAAGGGAAGCTGTGAATACATTAAATAAGCAGTAGCCAACAGCCAACCAAGGGGTGGTCCTCCAACTTGGGGGTTGGGTGTGGGGCTAACAACTCCTCACTGTAAAAAATAAACTTGTTACAAAAATTCTCAAGAAACCTCAGACCTGGACGGATTCCATGGATAAATGACCTAAGGTAAAATTTTGCTTGTGGTTCTGTATGGGTGTGAAGCTTGGTTTCTGACATTAAGGGAGGAACATAGACTGAGGGTGTTTGAGAACAGGGTGTTGAGGAGAATGTTTGGACCAAAGAAGGATGAAGTGACAGGAGGTTGGAGAAAACTGCATATTGAGGAGCTTCATAACTTGTACTTTTCTCCAGATATAATTAGAATGACCAAGTCAAGGAGAATAAGATGGTCAGGGCATGTAGCACAAATGGGGGAGATGAGGAATGCATATAGGATATTGGTGGGAAAGCCAGAAGGAAAGAGACCACTGGGAAGACCAAGGCATAGGTGGGTATACAATATTAAAATTGATCTTAGAGAGATAGGATGGGATGGTATGGATTGGATTGATCTAGCTCAGGATAGGGACTAGTGGAGGGCTCTTGTGAACACGGTAATGAACCTTCGGGTTCCATAAAATGCTGGGAAATTCTTGAGTAGTTGGAGATTTCGCTTCTCCTCAAGAAAGGCTCAGCTCCATAAGTAAGTAAGTAAGTAAGTAAGTAAGAAAGTGTGACTTTGGGGAAACCTGAAATAGAAAATCTACAGAAATAACCCACACTTCACAAATCGAATTCGAGATCGCTTTTTCTAGAAATGACAGTATCAGAATGTTGTGTCTTGAGGGATGTAATGCTGTGTGCTCCGGTGACTTTCTGTGAGCTACTCAGCATTGTACCTCTTCATAGCCACTACTATTAGAAGAACCTCATATCCTACACAGAATGTATACCCCAATGGCATTCTCTATGGGGACCTCTTCATTTTGTGCCACCTCAGGTTTCATGTCCACTGAGGTTGGCTCTTTTTCCTCTTCCAGATGTGCCTCCATTGTTTCTCGGCAGGCCATCGTCTTTATGTCTCTTTCAGGTTTGACTTCAGCCACCATCTCCTTGTGGCTGGCATCCATCTTTTCTCGCCAGGCTCTCATTTCGGCCATAATTTTCTTGTGTCTGACATCCATCTTTTTTTACATGGACTCCATCCTGGCCAGCAGGAGTTCCAACACTTGCTGTGTGTCCATTTTTGTTTTTGGAAAGTTGTTGAGAAGCCTCCAGTTAGATCATGTGGTAGCATGTTCTAGCCTTATCTGAGAGAAGCTGCCCGCTGTATGGGATCCTGCAGTAATAAGGTTGAAAATGAAGGAATGAACCCCTCTGTGTATGGTCCGGAAATAAATATTAAAACATTACTGTAGAAATTCATTGTTAGGTAAAGTACTACAAAGTTAATTGTTACACCACAGTTGTGTTGAACATTGTCTGTTGTTAGAAATGTATCTAATATAAGCATTATTTTATAAGTTAGCTCTTATCCCTTCTTCGGGTGACTGGTGACTGACAGACTTTTCACACTTTTCATGTATGATATTGGTAGCAATCAGAAAATCAGGAGACACTTAAAACTTCCATGCTAACTGCCAGGAAGCTTTTGGTAGTCCAGTGATTACCATGTAGGTTTAGCATTCAAAGGGTTCTGGGATCAGTTCCAAATCTACCATTAATATCATAATTAAAAACATAAAAATATCTGCAGACATAAAGGTAACCAATCACCCAAAGCAGAAGTAGAGCCATTCTCATTGTCGCAAACCTTTAAAATAGGAAAGTTTTATTTGTTTGACAGCCTGCGTTCATGTCCCCTGAAGCACACATGATGTCATCTTCCCAAAGAGCTGCCCTACAGCATGCACACAGTCTGTCTTTTGGATATTTTGTCACTCAAGATTCATCATTTGGAAACCTTATATTGCCAGTTCTTCCACGATTTGATATTAAATAGTGGTGATACGCATCAAGAGACGATATGGCAAGTATAAAGCTTAAGGTTCTGGAAGAATACCTGCAGGAAGTTGACATTTTTGAAAACCCCAAAGTGCACCTGGAGCAGTATGCTACAATGCCTCATATTGGAGCTCGGATGTTACACACAATCCAGTCATCATTTCATGACATTGAAGGTAAATTAATTGCAGATTTAGGTTGTGGATGTGGAACTTTATCAGTTGGAGCAGCAATGCTAGGAGCTGGATTTTGTATAGGATTTGACATAGACATTGATGCCTTGTCAGTATTTCGCAGTAATGTCAGTGAATTTGAATTAAGTAATGTGGATGCCGTACAGTGTGACATAGCTAAATGTCTGCCCATCTGCTGGAAGAAACAGTTTGATACTGTTATTATGAATCCGCCATTTGGAACGAAGCATAATCGTGGTATGGACATGAAGTTCCTCCGTGCCTCCCTTGATTTAGCTACTACATCTGTGTATTCTTTACATAAGACATCCACTAGAGAGCATATCTTTCTTAAAGCTGCTGACTGGGGTGTCAGAGCTCAGGTTTTGGCAGAACTGAGGTTTGACCTGCCAGCATCATACAAGTTTCATAAGAAGCAGTCAGTTGATATCAAGGTTGATTTTGTCCGATTCTGGTTTCAGCCTTCAGTTAAGGAAAGAAAGAATGACAGATGAACATATTTCAATGTTTCAGAAGGTAATTTAGTTTGTGATCTTTATGTGTATAGCTGTGAATAAAGTGTATCACATTTCATATTAATCACATCAGAGAAGAGTCTGAATGTGTGGAAGATACTGTCACATGTAGGGTGGTATGCATAACAGAATGACAGGTTCTAGTTTGGATGCTTGGGTTTAATAACATTTCAGTTACACACACACACACTCTCTCTTAATTACACTTAAATACAGGCAGTACAGCACTATCACTGATTTACACAGTTTGCAGTTCACTGTTGCACACGCACTAGGATTATCTGTCTTCACTAGTTGTCTCCTAGCAACGGATCTCAACACAGAAACTGTCACTTTAAATTACTACAAATATTACACATAATATCTTCCAGTCACACTTTAAATCCTCAGAGGCTGACCTCCTGTATTCTTCTGTAATCTTGGTTCCGATTCGCGTGCTTCTGCCAGTACTATTTCTCTCTCGTAACTCAGAACTCAGGACTGCCACACACACTCACTGTCACTTATAGTTTGATCTCTTCTTGTGATTCCACCACTACAATTTCTCTCTCGTAGCTCTCACTGCAACCCAGCTGAATTTTGTCACTCACTTATATGGCCGAGGGACAGACAGCACATCATCTTAAACACATATCACGTGATAGCTACCCACCACTGTTGTCTGATGTCACCACATGTGCAAGAAACATGTCACGTGATGACCACGTACTGTTGTGTGATTTCACAGTGTGCATGTGTCTGTGTTGTGGGCATTGTCTAGCAACAGATCTGCATGCCACAATATCTTATACAGGATAAGTTACAAGTTTAGAGCTTATGATTATATATGATAAATTGGAATGTTGGTCAGTAATTTTCTTGTTTGATATTCTCACAGCAATCAGTCTCTTTTTCCTGAGATTATGGGTATAACAGATACACATCACAGTGATGACCTTTCAGTCAATTATTATTCCTTCATCTTTATGCTATTGTTCAATGTGGCTTTTTACTATAAAAATTTCCCACATAGGTTTAAAATACATTTTTTACTTCTCTCCTGTTTGCTGCATGTCCAACCCATCTGGACATCCATTATTTTAGTATTCCCATTGTTTTGCATCTCGGGTGAGTGTGCTGAATTAAACTCCATGGCCTGTAGTCCGCAAGTGAACTATACTGACTGAGTGAGGTGCATGTAGGAGAAGTTGGTGCCAACTTTTGTGGATAGAGGGTGTTGCGTGGTCAGCACAACAGATCCCCATGGCCGTTAATCTCGGTTTTCTGGACTCAAGTGTGCTGAATTATGAACTGAAAATGCTTTCTTAATGCAGTGACAGACAATGTAAGCATGTGGTGAACAGCCGGTAACAGTTTAGTGGATGGTACTGTGAGAGAGATAAACAAGAATTTCCATTCCTTTGTGGTGCAAGTGAAAATATAGGTTGATGAGTGAAGTACCCAGCAAAGCGGCATGAAAAAGATGGATGTCACGTGATTAGGTAATGAGAAAATAATACTCATATTTTTGCCTGGTATTCAAAGTGGGCAGAGAAATTGTGTGACCTCATTGAATAGTTAAGTTTTTCCTGCCCATATAAAGTTCATTATAACTGTTATTAGTCACATGATAATAACAACATGGTGTCATAATGCCTCCTGAGAGATGTAGACATCATTTGTTGTTAAAAGACTTGGAGGAAGGGGTATTGATAACAAGCACTTGCAGGCCAGCCATAGAAGAAGCCATGATCTTGTAGCTGTCTGCTTATGTTTGAAAGCTGTGGCATTCACCACCTTGCCAGAATTATATTATTCTTGACTGACACACAGTTCTTGTTCACCTGTAGGGGAAAATTAGGTGGAATTGCTTTTTACTAATTAATGAAATGAATCATGATCTGCTGCTTTGTGGCTATGAAGATAACCATTTTACAATCAGTGCTGGCTGTAGTGGTTCTGCAATCTCCTTTGTCAGTGAGGTCTCTGGTTTGTATGCTGCTGTGAATGGTTTCCCCAGCATAAACGGTTTGGGTGCCATGCTGTAGCCGTTGTGTTCCTGTTGCCATACCTGCTACACATACCCTTGGATCATTGTGTATAGATGAGCACATCAGGGAATGCTGTTTGTAGGATACATATTTTGTGACACAGTGTCAGATGTAACTTCATCACCATGTATAAATGTGGTGTGTGTTATGCGCGAAAAACAGTGCCTCAAATTTAGGAAGCCACATAATGTAGACATTAGCATCAGTTGGTAAGACAGTAACCTACCATTCTGTACCATTGTGTTAAAATGTAAACATACACAGCAGGTGTGTGTGTTAAAGGGAGAGAGAGTTGTATAGGTTACCTTAAAAGTGCACAAGGTAGTATTTATGAATTCTGGTATGTAATGTCTGTGTAGGATGAATGTCTGGAGTAACAGTACTACTAAATACATGGATATTGAAATACAAATACTGTACAGGAATCTTAGATAAGCAAAAAATATCAGTTACTCATTCCTGCTAGAGGAATTCTCAGGTACATTAGATTTTCAGTACATGAGATTCCACCTTAATAAATAACAGGATTCATTAATCGTTTTAACAACAGTTATTGCTGAACAACCTTGTAACATGATTCATTAATTTTGGTCAGTGTTGTATTTCTGATTCAGTGAAAACTTAATGAGTATTACTGTTCATTCATTCATCAGTAATCTGTCAGATGACAGGTCCACAGTCTCTTCCAAAACAGTTCCTCCACTTAATGTGATCTTCTGTTTTTGGAAAGAGACTATCCAGGAAAAGTGATAGTGTGGTAGTTTTTCCATTTGCTTTCCACATCGCAGTACAGCAGCTGTTCAAACCACTCTGGTCATGCCTGTTGCTATACGAACTTGAACCATCTCGAGCATCATTTGCTCTGTGCTTCAAGTCGCTGCTGATGATGACGCTGCTTCTGGCATCAGTTTTTGGTTTTTGGTGTCTGTCTTCGGCTGATGCCTACCCTTTCACCTGTCCAGCAAGGGAGGCCCTGCCAGTAGCTATGCTCCCGCTGGTATAGCTCTCACCACGATAAGGTGGAGACACCAACGAGGGGGTGTATTACTGTATCTTCATACATTTGCCATAATGTTTCCCTACCCTAGTTCCATCACTCACCTGCAGCTAGTGCTGAGGCCAAGAAAATGTGAAACTATACATCCACTTTCCCATATGCCTTCATGGCTTAGTGGTTAATCAGTTAAGCGCAGGGACAATTTTACCTTTACCCTAGTTCCACAGATAAATGAAAAATCCTTTTATGCAACAAGTGCACAGATTATCAAGCCCACAAACCATAAACACATTATGTTATGACTGAAGTGTCAAAATCCCTTGGTTGTGAAAATTTCAAGTCACTTCTCTGTGAGTGATTGATGAAAAATCACACTGCAGTGCTGCCATCTGTAGTGAAATAAGTACACCAAGAAGTGCATGTCATGTTATCAAACCTTTCTGCTAGCAGGCCACTTGGTACCAGGTTTCTACAAATAGAAAGTCAAATGCACCCTCTGTGTCTGCTGCTCTGGATATTTCCTCTCTGAGCACTCAGTGATGGTGGCCACCTCAGCACCAAACACATCTTGGAGGCTGTTTGCACTGGATCCAGATGTGGCCACAATGCTGGCACTGCACTGCATCTGTCGTGAAACAAGACCTTGAGGGGTGTATTCTTGTGATGTTACTTTATTCTGCAACGCCGCACAACGTAATTATAACACAAAATGTTGAACAAATCCTTTCATAATCGGTTCTTTCATGTTTACAACTCTCACTAGAATGTAGAACTGTCCATTCGTGTTAACAACTCTCACTAGAATGCTGTCCATTCGTGTTAACAACTCTCACTAGAATGTAAAACTATCTTTTCGTGTTAACAACTCTCACTAGTATGTAGAACTGTCCATCTCTCCGTGCTGGCTAACCACTGACTTCTGTCTACACCAAAGTCACATTGTGACTGACGGTCAGTCAGTCAGTAAGTCTTGGTTTTTAAGGGCGGAAAAATTCAGGGAACAAGTCCTCTGGGAGGGACTGTAAGCCGTGTGTCCCGTGTCATAGATTTACGGCACGTAAAAGAACCTCATGTCTCTAGGAGACCTCTGAGCTAAATTAGGCAACAATTTCCCGCCCAAATAGTTTCCAACGCCTCTGGTAGATGGGGGAAGTATCAAGGTACCGAGGGCCGACCTCGTTGGCTCAACGGGGCTGATAGCACGCACCAGTACCGGTAGGGTATGGAGACTGGTAGAATATCAAAGGGGGACGTACAATAGATCAACAACTGGTTGCGGTGCATGGGGAAACCCACCCCCTCCAATAATCTACATAAATAAAAACGTAAATGTTGGTTTGTTAATCCTCGAAGATCTCCGAAAGTTCTTCACCGATTGCTTTGAAATTTTGACACAACGTTGCATTCGAATGCGCGCATGTTTTTGTATACCTACTAGCTATACCCGGCCACGCGTGAACCCGAAAAGTAAATGTTCGTTTGTTAGTCGTCTTAAATCTCCGAAAGTTCTTCACCGATTGCTTTGAAATTTTGACACAACGTTGCATTCGAATGCGCGCATGTTTTTGTATACCTACTAGCTATACCCGGCCACGCGTGAATCCGGAAAGTATACTTCCATGGAAACGCAATAACAGTTGCATAGGAATTGCCGAAACAACAAACGCGTTTCCCCGGAGATTAAAGGATAAGACGTTCCGTTGCGTAACAACAGGTGAACCCGGAAAGTATTGTCGCGTATCGGGCGTATATCGCGACAAATAACTTCACGCCGTATTTTATATAGCGAATTTTATTTCACATTCGCTCATACAATCACCCAAATTACAGATTTACGATTACTGCTATCTGCAGTATCACAATTAGTACACTCCAAATGCCACAATACAACTGACTAGTTGCTGGCTAACTCGGCGGTAGCTCCAGGACTCACTGACTGACTCAGTACAACTCGACTCGGCGACTGGTACAGTACAACTGACTCGAAGCCACATTAGGACTGAACTTGTACCAGCTGTGCAGCTCACCTATATAGCTGCAGTGCT